CAGACGGTAAACCCCAGCATCATCAACCCGTATAATATACCCTTTGCTTATATCCGTGCTCGGGGCAACTAACCTACCCTCGGCAGCCCTTGATCCCCACGCATCATCCCTCCATGTTCTATGGCGGATTGCATGGGGCCATAACCTACGGAGAAAAGTCCTTGCCTTTAGCTTCAACATACCTATAAGATTTTCTGCCCTGCCATTGGAAGCTGGCTGCTCAGGCATAGAGGCAGTCTTATGAATACCCCGATGATTTGCCCAGTCCGTGATCGAGTGGTGAGTCAACTCCTGGGCTGAGTCAGAATGCAGGCGGTAAATGGGCAGACCCCAAGACCTAAGGCGGGCGTAGAACCGATTCAAGGCACTGATGATGCTCTTGGATGATTTGGATGGTAGAATCTCCACTAGCGGGATCTCCAGAACATCATAATTAGGCTCTTTACAGTCCTTAGGCTCTTTACAGTCCTTAACCAGCGCTTCCCATTTCTCATTCTCGCGCTTAATCCCATCCATATCCCTGGTGCTCTTCTCAGCTACCTCATCCGGAGTCTCAGGAAACTCCCAGGGCTGGGGTAAATCATCTTCCTTGCTAGTGGGATGCTCCGGAGTCTCCGGCACAGGATGCCCTGTCTGTTCCACCTGAGAGACAGGCTCTCGGGAACTTATTGGGTCGCCCTCATGAGGCGCCGCATTTCCAGTGCTTCCTGAAGTCGAGGTTTTGATAATGGGGAATGTATAGGCACACACGATAAAGTACCTAGGCTTTGAGATATCCTGATCTTCAGCCCCGGCAGTACGATGAGGACCCGATATGTCAATATTCATCCCGCACACCCTCGAGAATTTCATTCTACGGTGTGGCCTGATATGAGCCATAGCATCAATACATGCGGCGCAGTCTGGACGCCATGGGCGGTGTCCTGCTAGGCAATGCTTTCTAAATAGCTCATCCTTAGGCTTTAGCAAGGGCTTTGCTGCACCTCACCGGCTCAGTAACCTGGAACTCCCCCACTGTCGCAAGGATATGCTCCAACCTCATTTTACGAATGCAAGCCTGCTCCTGCTCATGCCGTGGACCCCGGGCCCATTCCTCCAAGGCCTGCTTGATCAAAGAGACCAGCCCTGGTGCCCATTCTCCCCAGGTTTTGGATTCCTGGATGCGTTGGCTTAAAGAACCACCGGACTGCCCACTCCACGGAACCCGAGAAGTAACCTTTAGCTGATGCAATCTTTCCCAAAGGAATCCTGATGACAACATCACCCGCGTAGGCTTAACCTTTGAATGGCCCAACACCCCTTGATGAAAGGACGCCTGCGCCAGGCCGTGACGCTTTGCAAACTCTTTCAGCTCGGGCCAATCCCAAATAGTGGCATGCTCATGACCCTCATTGGCCTTACCGGACAAGTATTCAGCAGGATCCTCTGGATGTTCCAAGAGGAAAAACAGTTGCGGCTGGATATCCTGATTCACGCTGTGATCCAGCAGGCCCTGTGCTGCAACCTCAGCCAACAGCAGATAACGAATCAACAACACAGTGTCTTGATCTGCCATGCTTTGGTCCTTGCTGGACAAACCATCCTTCCGGAACCTTTCCTGCCCGACACGTCCTCGAAGAACGCCAGGTCCCCCATCGGCCCCAGGTCCAACGCCTTTCTCCCTCAACACCGAAAACGTTTTGCACGGCGGACCTCCCAAAAGCTTATCCACCAATCCCCTACGCGCCAGATCCAGCAGATAGTAGAACATGAAATCTCTTCCCCGCTCTAACTCGATCGACAGAGTTGGATGCCCCTTTGGATGATCCCAGGCCTGCTTGCCGCTGAATGCATGGATCCTTACACGACCCCTTTCAAGCCTACGCCGGCAGTGACGATTCAGCCCCGATGATGCTGGCTTGTGCGTAGCTGTGGGAACTACCCTTGCCTTAAGATCTGCCGGAAGATCAGGGAATAGTTCATTAACCAAAGTACGAAGATGGTCCAGGAACTTATCCCCATTACCCTCCCAGCCCTTTATGGGATTCGGGCTCCGAAGACTGGCCCGAACATGAGCCGCCCTCAACATCGCTCCCCCCCGTCTCAGCTCCAGCTCGGAGATCAACTCCATGCACAAAGTATGGGGAATCATCGGGCACTCTTGTTGCATAGTGATCGGGAGAGGCCCTATCTCAGGATGCGCCACAGAGCAACCACCTTCATCCCAGTCCACTTTACACTTCAACTCCTTAGCCGCTATTCCCATGGGCATTAAGGGTTGTACCGAAGGATTATCTGACAAGAGAACCCCTACCGCATTTATCCGAAGACTAGTAGTGGAATCTACTGCAAGTTGAACATCCACAGGCGTTGCCGCTGCAAACTCCCCCGGTCCTGCATACCTCAGGCAGTGCGTAGCTCCCCCATCCAGGAGCCCCATCCTTTGTGATATATCAGGCAGTGGGCCTGCATCTGCAAGAATTGCCTTAATTTTAATTTCTGATGAGGTATCCCCTGATCCCTGACTATTGGAGGATGCCAATGCCGAACCCTCCCCTGCAGCTTGCAAAGCTGACGCTTTAGGCTTTGGCTTCGGCTTAGGGTGAGGTTTCTTGGGCTTAGATGGGGATGGGTTCTCGGGCTTACCTGATTCCGATGAGGCCTTTGCAGCAGACTTGGGCCGATCACACTGTTGCATGGAGTGGTTGGTAGCCCCACAAACGAAGCACTTCCCATCTGAAGGCTGCAGCTCACTGTGATAATGTCCACATGATCGCCCATACCTACACCCATTATCTGAGGCAAAGAACTTACAAACCCCATCTGCATTCAATGGTCCTTGCCCCGACGGATGTTTCGGGCTAGGAGTCTTAGGGCCTGGGTTTGCGCTCGGATTAGTCTTAGGGGCTTTAGGATTCGGGGTCATCTGATTTCAAAGATGCCAGTTTCTGCATCTTGTCTGGTTGGGACAACAGAGCCTGCTCACTTTCCGCGATCAACATTTCGCAGTACTGAAGAACAGAGGCTTCATGGGGTCCTACATCAATGTTTTGGGAATGCCTAAACGTGGACAACCTAAACGCATGCTGCGGCTTCCCATTTAGGGGTCTAGCTAGTATATCTAGGGCCCGTACAAGTAGCAGAGGGTCTGGGGTCTGGAGCCCCAACTCCTTGCATCGCCTGTACATTTTATCCCATTTTCTCAGGGTAAGGTGACAGTTTTGTAAATTCGGGGCACCATCTACTTGCGGCTGAGTTAAGAATGCAAGTATGGTTGCTTTCTCCGCGCCGCCGCCGCCTGGTTGGTAGCGCGCGAAAATCATGAATAAGAGAGCCACACATGACAGTGCCCGTACTGAAATAGCCTCGGTTTGCAACTCCTTCGGAAGGCTCTGCAAGATCAAGACAAACCCACTTTCCTCAACACGTGAAAGATAGTCTTGATTCGCTTGATACGCAATGGCTTGGGCCTTTAATGATAATCGAGTTATCGGATCTGACAACAACCACTGCTCATACAATCCGAAGGCCTTTGCATGCACTTCACTCCACCACGTGGGAGCACTAGGGCTAAGCGAGCGCATTAATGGCCCAATACGTGCAATCCAATCGCCGCATGCAATGGATACTTCAGCCGGGATTTCACCTACTTCAAGATTCGGGAGGGCTGTAACCAACCTGGATGGCTCCTCGGACCTTAAACACCCTATTGGGGGACCCACAGGTGACCCAGAGATTGGAGTAGCAACACCCAGTGAATCCCAGGAGCCCTGCTGAGGCAAACCCAATTCAGGCCTAGGACAAGGAGGCTGCAACTGCAAGTAATGGTGCTGTGGCTGACTGCAATTGCCAAATGGACTCAAAGGGCCCACATGTCCTATAGGCGAGGTAGGCAACTGTGATATCGACACGTCCCCAAATGACACTGCCTTAGGTGGAGTCGGCAGAGGCGGGCTATCAGGGACCCTAGTTCCCCCAGGGGTAAACATTATTTGAGCAGCATGCTTTGGGGATGCATAGCCGGGGCTTAGACTAGGATGATCTGGGACCCTAGTTCCTCCAGGAGTATACACAGCCGCTCGGCTCGTGGTACCTGCCCTGGGAGTAGAATACCTTCCTAAAGTCTCTACCTCATTATGACTATTAGGCTTCGGGGGCTCAAAAGGGGTATTCTTAGCTCTCCCAGCCCAGATATCACCTGGCTGCGCCTGCGGACGTACCTCATGTGGCTCCAAATCTAGCAGGTCTACGATTGCCGGGATTGCGGGATTACCAGACTGCACCGGTTTCGGCTGAGGAGTTGGGCACGCCATAGGAGCTGAGAAGTCTATACCCAGTAGATCATCCATTGGGGAATTCTTTGGAAAAAACCTTACAAAAGGCGGGCCCTGACTTCCGCTGCCATTCCCCTGAGGAGGCATTGGATTGCCTTGGTCAAGAAACCCCGGGCTAAACCTACACCCTACAGGACTCGTTTGCTCACCTATGGCCACAGTAGGACTAAACTGTACCATGGCCAGACCTAAACCCTAACGAATCCCACGGGCCCATAAACCCTAACGGGGCGCTAAACCCTTGCAAGGCATTCAACCCTTCATGAGGCCGATACCCCTGACCTACAGGAGGCCCAGTAGATGCCCTTAATCCTGAAGGAGCTACCCGACAGCCACTGCTCAGGTGTGCAGAACTCGCCGCCTGACACTGATTAGGAAATGCCTGAGAAGGTCTCCCAGAACCTAACCCTACACAACCACCCCCAACATTAACTTGGTCGAAAGTGCCTGTACTCCCTTGATTCATGCTGCCTCGTACTGGCAAGGGCGGAAGGTCCCTAGGTACCCTACCACTATCACCAGAAACCAGTAATTGGGGGTCACTACTCATGGTCAGTGAATGCTGTACATTTCGCACTTCCGAAACATGCTCGCTACGGTGTCTATGTACAGATGCTTGATCACTACCTACCTCACGAGCCGTGACCGCAGATGACCGCCGACTGGATCATTCTTCAGCAGCTTCTATCCTTCTTCTCATTTCCATAAGCAGAGGGTTCCCAGAAAGTGGATCCAGTGCCTCGTATATTTGTTCCAGCGACAACTCCTGAAGATTCACCGGATTTCGACTTCTTTCGCTGTCAGCTTCCGATCCAGACACGCCAGTACGCCCCATTCCCTGAGAACCTGTAGTAGAGCGCTGCACCATATCTCTTGCAGTTTCCTGTCGCCCAGACGCCTGCTGAGCCAACCCGTCTCGTCCCACCGCAGAAGCCTCTCGCACCGATCCCGAACTTCTCGGTCCAAGTCCAGTTGAGTTCTCTTGCTCCCTCAAAAACCGCTCTGCCTCGGACTGAGGATAGCCCGCAACCGAAGTCTGACGATTCATTTCCCGAGCAGCTTCCGCAAACAAGTCTTCGTACGGCGGATGTACATCTTCGAGACCAGCTTCCCGCCATCCAGCTACTGAAACACCAGCCTCAGATCCTGATTCCATTCTAGGAAGATCCGCAGGACGCATCTGTCGAAGTCTCAGCTCATCATTGGCCCGGTCAGACCACCAAACGTTTGCCACTGAATCCTGTCCACCCAGCTCTCTACCCAGATTCCTTTGATCCGGAAGATCCTGTTCATTCGGATTCCCGCCTCCAGACCTCATCGATTCCCATCCTTCTTGGGAAGCCGTGTCCGGTTGCTCTCCAATAAATGTTCTAGTGATGGGGTCCATGTCCTGTCACACCAGCGTTCACGCAATGCCAACAATCCTTTGACACCGCGCCACCCAGCTTATCAAGAGATGTTCCCCAACGCGCAGCCGTAAGCGTATGATTGGGCTCACTAACCTTCGCGATCCATGGCTCAAGCACCGAAGTTCAGCACTCTTTTTCTCTCGCCAACAACCCAAAGAAGATCCACACAAGGTAAAGTCTACGAGGTTCCTTGATCTCTACAAGGGACCAGGGTAAAGGAACACATATACCAATCTACAATCGCTTTCAAAATTAGTACTCCATTCACTGACCATGAGATACCTAAGAACATCCCTGAACCCTGACCTTGGCAGAGAGATGGCTCTGATGAAGAGCATGCTTCCTCGACAGTACCTTGCCACCAGACGCACAGTTGTTTAAGGTTCCAAGCACACTGCTGGAACCGAATCATCCTTCCAATCAAAGTGGACCCTGTAACTATTAAGTCCTGAGCCCTAAGCCCTTATCCCTAAACCCTAAACCCTAAACCCTAAAACCTAAACCCTAAACCCTAAGTCCTAAGCCCTAAATCCAAAGCTCTGCCTGGCCCTACCCTCACAAAAAGCAAACATCGAAATCCCAAGGGCCTTGAAAAGACAACCTCACTTACGAGGCTGCTAGATCAGGTTCCATACACAGTCCCAATTGGTAGGTTTCCCAAAAGAAGGGTTAGGGTTTCGGGAAGCATGTTAGTTTCCAAAAAAAAGAAGGGCACTGCAATATAGACCCAAATATACTATAACCCTTAGTACGGAGACCCCAAAAAACTTACCCCTAATTTTAGGAAACCCCAACTGGGGGGAGGGGGGGGGTAAAGACCCTAAACCCTAAACCCCAAGCTAAGACAGGCGAGGTGCTTGATCTGCTGGTCCTTATTTTCAATTTCATCATCCTGGCAGCACGTTACGAGCCACCCTTCTTTCGTTATCTTATCATTGCACCTATTATTCTTACCTATATTACAAGTACTGATATTTCTTACCATGCTTAGTATTAGTATTGTTATCTTAATACTAATATTATTGAGGGCTGGGGTCTGAGGGCTTTGCAGTCTTAGGTTGGGTTCGTGGTTGGGCTTTTCCACGTCGCAATGTTTCAAGGTATAGCCCTTGGAGATCGACATGACGGATTCTTCTTTAAGCAAGTCAAAAGCACAAACTACTGCGAGGTGCCGATGGTTTCTGGGTTCTGGATCCGCTGTCCGAGGATTCAAATTGAACGCCGTCATTCTCGGCTACACGACGAGCTCTTCGGGGTCGGCGGTAGGAGTGGCAGCAAAGTCACTCGGTATCATTTCAAGGGGACTGTCAAGGTTTAAGGACACAAGTCGCTGAACTGAAGCCTTGCTCTGCAATGCCCTTTGCCGTGAATTTGATACCTCCTCCTGACCCCATGCCGAACCCAAACCGGCCCCAAACTTCCTAGCAGGGGCTGAATTGAAAACCTGCCGCCACCTGAGATTGCAGGTGCCCTTCATGATGCAAAAGCCAAAGCAAAAACGCATCTATTGTTCGGGACGCATCCCTAAACCCCAAAACCCGTAACCACAAGCCTAAACCCTAAACACCTAGGCCCCAAAGCTTCTCCTTGTCACGGGTCAACTCCTGGCAGTGTCGCAGAGCCATGTGGTAGGGCTGGGGGGATAAGCGGCTTAGGGTCTAGGTTTTTTTGCATCGCCCTGTTTTGGGGGTTACGCTATATCTTTTTAGGATCCCGGGTTCGAGGCTTGCCCAATTCAAAATATGTTCGCAGAGCTGTCCTTGAGCTCGTGGTTCGTGATGTCTAGCTCCTCCTTCTGCTCCGTCAGCTGGATCTCCTAGGCCATTTTGGAATTCACAATTCCTAACATGATTGAATCTGACAAGACCCTTTTCTGGACGACTTTTCTGCTGGAAGAAGCCTAAGTGTAGAAGCTTCGAGAATTACCAGCATCGTGGTCCCAGATTCCTTGTATAGTTATGTTGCAGGGTACCTCAATTAGACCTCAACATAACATTCGTCTCTACATTATACTGAGCTTCAGTTCATGGGGGGTAAGATCTCCACACGGGTGGATGTGGGCTGAGGCTTCCCTATTCCCTCACCTAATAGTGAACCCGCCTTACAACTTTGATAGTACCCAGCGTCATACCACATGTTTTGGGCACATGTTCGCATGATTCCAGTCCCGGAGAGAGACAAGAGGGAATCCTCAAAACAAGACCCAGTTTCGGCCAAAAGTACCGGTACTGCAGCCCCTAAACCCTAAACCCTAAACCCCAAACACCTAAATCCCAGAAAACCTCAGCCCCAAACCCCTAAACCCGGAAGGCCCAAAAAACTCTAGGCCCCCAAGATCCCTACATAAACCCAATATACTATAGTAGTTTTCATGTCCTTTTCCATTATCCCTCTTTAACCCCAATATACTATAGTAGTTTCCACTTTCTTTTCCATTATCCCAATAGAACCCCAACATAGACCCTAAACCCCAAACCCTAAACCCTGAACCCTAAACCCTCAACCCTAAACTCTGAACCCTCAACCCTAAACCCTAAACCCACTACTTCCCAGGTCCAGCGAGTTGATCTTGTAGATCAGCTCCTCCTGCAGAGCCTGTGCAACACGCAGAACTACTGCGGCTCTAGGGATTCAAGGTTCAGGGTTTAGGGTTTAGGCCCCCAATTCTAGAACTCTATTAGGCCTTATGAAGCTCGAAAAAGTCGTTATTAGTTCCTTAAACCCTGGGGGGGTCGCATTGTAACTCCTAATACTGTCTACCGTCGACGAAGGAATCTTACTGTAGAGGTTTAGGATTTAGGGGTTTAGGGGTTTAAGGGGCTTAGGGTTTAGGGTTTAGGGATTGCCTTCTTTGGTTTCATTATCATGAATACGACCATTATTATTACTACGGTACTCTTATTATTACCTGTATTAATCTTATTGTTACTATTACTAGGATTTAGGCTCATTTTTCCACTTGCATGGCCGCACAGCGGGGCGAGGCTAAGGCTTCAGGCTTTGTTTTGGAGGCCTCTTTTTCATCTGGCAGAGAGAGAGCCAGGAACTGCTTCAGAGGGTGTGGGGTCTGGGGCCTCCATGCGGTTTAGGGCTTGGGGTTTGGGGCTTAGAGTTTAGGGTTTCGGGTTTGGATCTTAGAGTTTAGGGTTTAGGGGTTTAGGGGCTGGGGCTTAGAGTTCAGGGTTTGTCGTTTAGGGTTTAGGGAGTGGGGAGTTTAGGGTTTGGGGTTTAAGATTAAGGCTGCACCACCCTTTGAAGTTTGTATCTTAGCGCTTACAGTCTTCGGGGATCTTGAATGGTGCAAGACTTCCTCCCTCCACAGTACACGTTTTGCCGAAAAATGGTTACGATGGGTTGTAGGCTAGTTATGGGGTTTGATATTCAGGGGTAAAGGCTAAAGATTTCAGGAGCTCGCCTTTTGCTTTTTCAGAAGTACTTGATTGCAAGGTTTAGAGTTTAGACTCTGCAGGCTTCTTCTTGGGGCACCTTACATGAATGCCTTTGAACTGATCTATGCTCGGCTTTGTGTCTAGCATTGCAGGACGGTATCTGCAGCAAAACCTGCAGCAAAAGAGGCCATCGTTGCACATTTTCACCGGAAGCCGCAAGCTTTGATTGCGTCAAAAAGCTTGAAGTTATGGTTCTTGGGTGAATTCGCATTAACGTTGGCATCAATTGAGGAATCCGCCCGCGGCCCCGTCACGGGCGGACCAATCTGTGAACCAGGGACTGCTAGAGGGGAGCTGCAATAAGGAATCTGGGACATGAACTTCTCTGAGCCTACATCGCTACCGTAGCATTCGTCATATTAATCGTCGCAGGTCGTAGCAGGACGACATGAATGGTTGGGGTCAGGAAATCTGTTCCCTAAACCCTTAACCCTAAAACCTTTTTGATAAAGCCTAAATCCTGCAATATGACCCACCCCCTGGGAAGGTAGGGAGAAATCCTTTAGGATTCTGGCTGGGGACCCCAATGAAAATCAAATTTGATATCGACCCACCTGGCGACTCCCCACCTCAACATTCCCTTTACAGACCTGGGTTGGCCCCTACAAGCCTTTGAAAAATATGAATATCTAGGGTCCCCTATTTGAGACATTAGGGAAAATATCAAATATCCCAGGGGCCTACCCAGAGACCCAACTTAAATCCTTCGCTGAGCCCCCCCCCTGCCCATGAAAAGGCAACGGGCTGTCGGGATTCAGGCTTGAGGGTTTAGGATTTAGGGGTTTGGGGGTTTGGGTTAAGAACATGTGGCAACGCACAATTTCCGGCACCTTGTACTGACGAGCCATGTCCGCCGTAACAGCGTAGGTGGTGTTTTGCTCCTCGCAGGCTTCAGGATCGGAAGTGCGAAATCTGCGCAAGGCGAATTCTGTCATAGTACCCCTGAAGACCCCTAGCTCCTCTACATACATGGCCAATTTTAAAAATTAAGGGACCCCAATATATAGACCTTAAGATACCCCACTTGCAGGACCCCCAAAGAAGGGGCCCCGTTTCTGCAAAACCCCCATGCATGTGGAAACATATATGTACCGAGGGCAGTTCTTAACCTACGTAATTTGCTGCGGCCACGATGAAATTCCGAGGGTTCGGGTTCATAACTGCTCAGGACAGTCCTGCTTGAAATCCTCCTCCATCCTCGGCACCCGCACACATCACACACAGCACTCCACCCTACTTGGAGGGTCAGGGAGACTTAGCAAGTCGGTCAAGAATGGGCATAACTCAGGTTACTATATGGTTTATAGGGGTTATTATCCTACATACTAAGTCCCCGTGACCCGCCAAGTATAGTTTAAGGTTCAGGGTTAACCCTAGTCATCATAGTAGTCTCTTTATATCCCCATATGACCTCCCAGAGTGTTCATCACACAGTAACCCTAGCGAGCGCAGGATGCGCGGCTTCTGCTACGGCTGGCCAAAATCGGGTTTCAAGACAGTTGGATTGTCAATCGGAATCAACCCGAACACAACTAAACAATTGGTTGATACGGGTATTTGTACAGATGTAGCTCCATGTTCCTTATTGGGTTTCATCATACTGCCAATATTTGTCTGCAAACAATCTTAAACTTGGAATGGAAAGCACATTCGCCTTCCCCAAGCATCGAACACCCCCCAAAGGCATTATAGCATCATACACGGGGTGTTTAATACCAGGGCGTAGGGAGTGTTGAGGAAATGGGGAAAGGATTTCAAGACACCAAGGGCTTGGCGTTTGAATGTCCCTCTTTCGAAGTCACGGCTGTAAAATCTCCAGGGTCAAGACATGGAGTGAAAGCTATACGCATGGAACTTCAACAACTGACTTACTTGTTGATGCACCATTTGTCTGAGTGGCCTCCCTCCTCAACACAGCTCCCAAGATGGACACAGGCCTGACAACGCATAAGCCAGCAAAGAGAACCGAAACCCCGAATTTCCCAAAAAAACGTGATCCTACATGCGGGATTCATTCCCAGAAAGGGATCCTCCTGAAGACCGATTCTGAATCACCATCTCCTAGAATCGTGCTTTAAGTCCCTGCCTATACTGGCAACCCTAGTGTAGGGTTTAGGGTTTTCTTCAACCGATTCATGGTTGTAACCTTTATGACCTCCTTGCTGAAGTGCTGACTTAGTTGCTGGGTTCCCCGGCCCGAAAAGTGGGCCCGTTAATTAGCATTAGGCTTCATGTACGCCAAATCGAAACACGGAAAACTAGCTTGCCTTCAGTACTGCCCCCCCTCGGTAACAGTTGGATAATAAGTATAATATTGATATATATAGCCCTTAATAGGACCCCTAATATAGACTGTTACTGGGGGGGGAAAAAGCTTACCCAGCTACTGAGAGCAGGAGGGCCGACAGGAACCCTAAAGAACTTCCCCAAAGAACCTCTGCAACATCCCTAAACCCTAAACCATAAAACTCTCATCTCTAATACCTAAACCCTATTCTACACCTAGTCCTTAAACCTGAAACCCTGATCCCTTATTCCTAAACCCAAAACCCTAAAGAGCAGTTTCCATTTTCTTTTCCATTATCCCTAATATAATCCCTATATAACCCCAACATATACCCCTATATAACCCTTTCTAATGCTGTAGTCTCCATTTTCTTCTCCGTTATCCCTAATATAATCCCTATATAACCCTAACATATACCCCCTATATAACCCTATATAATATAGTAGCTTCCATTTTTCTTTTCCATTATCCCTATATAATCCCTATATAACTCCAATATATACCCCCTACATAACCCTATATAATATAGTAGCTTCCATTCTTCTTTTCAATTTTCCCTAATATAACCCCTATATAACCCCAAAATATCCCCCATTATAACCCTAATATATACCCCATTATAGTAGTTTCCATTTTATTTTCCATGATCCCTATATAACCCCAATATAACCCCAACATATACCCCCGATATAACCCTATATAATACTGTAGTTTCCATTTTCTTTTCCATTATCCCTATATAACCCCTATATATTCCCTATAGAACCCCTATATATCCATTATATCCCTATATATCCCCTATATAACTCCTATGTAACCTCTATAAAAGCCATATTGGTACAGTTGGGGGAGGACCCTAAACCCTAAACCCTTGTAAGTAGAAGCAGATGCCAAGCCCCAGGCTGCTCGACCTCACTGCAAAGCTCTAGACCATGGGGACTAAAACGGTTGCTATAAAGGGTTGAAATTGAGGGTTTAGGGTTTAAAGTTTTGGGTTTGGGGTTTTTCAGTTTAGGGTTTGGAGTTCGGGGTTTTAGAGTTTAGGGTGTAGAGTTTGGGGCTTAGAGTTTAAAGTTTAGGGTTTAAGGTTCAAGGTTTCGGGCTTAGGGTGAAACTTATGGCCCATTTTTGGGATACCCTAGATGGTAACTTCGAATCCAAAGTAAGGGGTACCCCAATGTAGACGCCCTATACCCTGTAATCCTGATTCTGGGGACCCTCAAAAACAACTCCTGATTTCCGGAACCTCCCAAATTTTAGGAGTTGTATGCTTATAGAGACCCGAAAGGGAGTTTGAGGCCGCAGTCTAAACACTGCTGCACCACCCCGCGAGGCTTTATGGATTGGGAGGCACATCTAGCATCAGTGGTGGTGTGGTATTTGTGGATATGAGGAGACAATCAAATTGTGTCCAAGTTATAGCTGCTCAGGGATTCAAAGTCTGGTTCAAGTTGCCCACCTGCACCAACACGGCCTCAGTAGCCAACTCTCCCCCCACTAAGAATCAGCCCTAATAGCATATCCCAATGTAACCCCAATATATCCCGTATTATCATATAGTAGCAACATCCAAGTGGAGGATCATGAGACGCATGGAACGCTGACGCTTACCTTCCCTCAGCCCGCAAAACCCAACTGCTTTGGGACCCTACTTGGAGGGTCAGCGGGACTTAGTAAGTAGGTTAATAACCCCTACAACCCATATAGTAAACCTAGCTGTCCCCATTATTAACCCATTTACTTAGTCCGCCTGACCCTCCAAGTAAACCCTAAACCCTAAACGGCCTTAAGCTCTTGAATTTTTTCCGGCAAACAGTGTCTGGGATGAGGTCCAAGGCCCCCTCCAAGGAACACGGCCCATCCCATGCCATGTTGAAACTACTATGGTATAATAGTAGTTTCCATGCTATTTTCCATTACTCCAATATGACCCAATATATACCTGGTTATACTATAGTAGTTTCCATTTTTTCTTTGCCACTATCCCTATACAACCCCAAGAAATTACTTACGAAGCATCCCCGATTCCCTACAGCAAATGCATCCCCTGGGGCCGTTGTCCAGACCCGAGGTTCACGAGCGATTCCGTCCCCACGTTTTGGGTGTCCGAGGGAAGGGTCTAGCTTAATGGCCCTTGCATGGTTAACAACGCTGTGACTTCTAGCTAAATTCTCTGAATACACGGGGGGACAAAAGCTTGTTGGATGTTTATCTGCCTGTCCGTAATCCAGCTCTGTCGCCCTAGATACTCCTTCAACGTCTGAATCCAATGTGCTTGCAGAGCGCAAAGCAGTGAGTGCATGCAACCATTTTACCGCTTGAAGTGGGAGGCAGCACAAACACAAGAGCATACCAACCGGAGTCTGGCGTCGAATTACGCAATGCTCCCTAAAATCCCCACCTGCAGCTCCTCATCTCAGGGAGACAGAGGCGCTTGAACAGTCGCGCTCCCCGAGAATCACTTTCTGCGGTGAGGAAAGCCTGGAAGCTCTTGCAACCTGCCCATCCACTTTGAAGCACTTGAACTGCACAACTGGTTGTTGCGCACTCGTCCGAAATTTGGCGATTCTGTAGTGGAAAGTTTAGACGAATCCTTGCAAACAGCCCTGTTACGCAACCTTCCTCTAGAAGACCTTCACACAATCTCTCACTTACGATGAAGAGCCCCGTAGCTACAGTCATATTGAACCCTTGGCATTAGTCACCCCGTCTAATCTAGGTTGCTGTCAGCAAGCTTAAACGAAGCTACCACCTTAATGCAGATACGTAATAAGCAGTGGGCATCAGTGGGGTTTCCGTACTACGGTGTCAAAACCTAAGTTCCTTCACGTCAACCCAATACTTGTCTGATCATCCCCACTTGTCAACTTAAGGGGGTTTGTCACAAGCGGATGACAGTAGGAACCCTAGGAACACAACAAGGTTTACGTAATAGTATTCTGGGGACTGATACTAAGATCCCCTATTTAGGGAAACTACCATGTTGCCACAAACAGAGGGACTACTGTGCCTGAGAAGCGTTCTACAAGACATTGCGTAGAACTCGGTGTAGGCATTAGGAAAGATAGGGCTTAGGGCATAATCTCAACATTTCACCCTCATAACCCTTAAACCGTACACCCTAAACCCTTTGTGTGGCGAAGGTGCCTCCCAGAGCTTCGCAGTGATAGCAAGTCTTGCAGACCCAGACTCCAATCTCCCCTACCTTAAGCCCTAAACCCCTGAATCCGACCCTAAATCCTAAACCCTAAATCCTGAAGCTTAGATCTAATCGTCCAAAGGCTTTGTTCCTCAGCTCTAGAGCAGACTAACCCCACACAATACCTTTCAGGGCAGGCAGGGCAGGGTAGGTAGCAGGTTTAGGGTGTAGGGTTTAAGGTTGGACCTGTTTTTTTGGTAGGGTTCTGTTTGATACAAAAGCAGAACAGTGCTCTTCTTTGATCGCAAATCCTCCACTATTCCCTGATTAGAAAATCCCTTAGGACCCCGCACCCTGCAATAGTGGCATAATAGGAATACAAGAGGACTCTAATATGATCACCATTATCCCTTACAGTGACTCTCACTGGGTGGGGAGTCTCCCTCAGGTATGGACCTTAAACACTAAATGACAGCCCAGGATTTCTACGTTTTGTATTCAAGCCCTCACGTTTTGGGAAAAGGGCTCGGGACAACCTAGGTTCTACACGAACCACAATCGAGACTCCTTCCAGAGTGGCTTACATGGGTGGGTGAAGGGGTCAGGATTCTTGGGAATAGAATCACGAGATTATATGTGCTACGTGAGGATTATGGGCCAGGGTTTAAACTGCTAGCATTCCCCTTAATGAGCCCTCTAGCATCCCCTATATAACCTCCATCAAGGAGTGTAGACTATGGCTCATGTAGAAGTGGTATGATCTTAGACAATCCATTCAAAAATCACCAGAAGAGTCCAGGAAGGCATGCGAAATGTCCCTGAACTTTAAGTTAGAGACTCCTGGGAGGGACCCAAGTATGCATGTGAACAGACTGACTTTTGAGGTGTTCAGGTATCGGGTTCCGGGCTAAGGCTTCAGGTTGTAGGGCTTATTGCCATTCATGGTTTACCATACGTCCCAGTTCCCTGCAGAACACCTCAGCGGTCTTTTGTTCTTGCACCCCACGAATGGCCAGGAGATTCTTCAGAAACCCTAAACCCTGAGATCCTATACCCTAACCCCCTAAAACCCCAAATCCTTTTTTTCCTCAACCCTAAACCCCTGAATCCTAAACCCTAAATGCTAAACCCCAAACCCTAAGCTCCGCCAGGGTCCCTCCCAAAGTCCCTCAATTCAGCAAGCGCGCCTTGCTATTGAGAAGTGGAATGCCAGCAGCTGGCCGCAGGCTTCAACCGCGTTTGAATATAGAAATCTATGCTGGCTGAGGATTTGGGAGCTGAGAAGCTAAGGGCTTTGGATTTGTTGTGGCTTTGGGAGGGGTGTAGGGACCAGGGTTGGGGGGTTTAACTCAGGCTTAGGGATTGGCTTCTTGTCAAAACATATGCGTCAAAGGTGCACGGTGGAAGCCTGCTGCGAAAATTCCGGGAAAATCAAGATTGTTCCATCAAGTCACCGCTTCTGCAATGAGGCTCGAAGAAATCCTTGATAAGAAGGTGGATATTCTGACTGCATGTCCAAAACGCACAACGAGGAGTTAAATGAACTTCTTGTGTAAAAAGAAAGACGAAAGCAACTTCTGGTGTAAAAAGAGAGAGGAAAGCCACGACATGCTTGCTGCTGCGTCAACGGCATGAAACATTATGTTACACAGTCTGTGGAAGTCTTTGCTTTTAGAAACCAGGCATGCTAACTCTCATGTGAAACCTGAAACCCGTCCAAGAATTAGAACTTGGGCTCTTGCATGCTACACCTTCCACAGGCGGGACACTTCACTAGTCACCTGAATCCTAAGTCCGCGCCATGGCCCAAACGCAAACCAGAAAAAAAACTTGGAGCAATCAGCGGCGACTCGGATGGTGTACTACAGTAGCCTGCTCCTACCTGCTTGTCGCAGGCTGACGCTTGTTGCAGTCATCTCCGAAGGCGATCTTCCCATCCTGCTCTGAAGATCAAGATTCGTGGTTCAGGGGCGGGGATTAATTCGTCAGACCCTGAGTGCAGGCAGCAAAGTTTTAGCAGCGAGTTGCATGCCCTGGCAAGCATCTCTGACAAGCATGGATAACGGGGGCAGGCAGGGTGTGCGGGACGAGCCCCGAATACCAAGAGCACAATTCACTAGACCATGGTGAATCATTGGAAGCATGGATCTCTGTAGTACCCCTGTAACCCCCGAACAGCTAGAAATTTCCATTCCCTCATCCCTGCAAGAATGACAGGAAGCAGGGAGGCAGCATTTGTTTTCGCAAGGCCATTAGGCACACACCTGGAATGCAGTGCGCCTGCTGAGAATTTCAAAAGCAACCATGAACACATGTCTTGAGCTTTGCTCAAAGAAGAGCAAGGCGTAAGGCCTGAAGCTTGCAGCTGCACCGACTATCTGAATGAGACTTCCCTCTGGACAAACGCTCGAATGCTGTCACAAAGATCTGTGAACTCGTCAGCTGAGCAGCCAGCCCTCTCAATTCGCAGGTCAATAGCAAACCTGCCGAAGAAGTCGTACTCCGCACGCTTCCATTTGTTGAGGGTCAAGTAAACCTCCTGGCCGGGCCAGAAACCTTGATGTGGAACGGTTGTTTCATCGATGCGTGTGCCCCATAGCTGCTCAAAGAAGATCAACACATCCTCAAAGGAGACACCGAACGTGTCCACTGGGAGAAACACATGTTGTACAACCTCGGGATGTGGGTAGGTTTTCTGGTTCAAGTGTTGCAGCACTGCCCATCGAAATTGATGCATTGCCGCGTTCACACGTAGACCAGGGGCCACCTCCG